CGGGGGCTGGCCGCTGACGGGCACCTCCCGACATACATGCGAAGGGGAACGCGTTGCGGACGAGGCAACGACGGCGGGGTCCCCGGCGGCCGCTCCGCGCGGCTCTGCGCAACCTGCTCCCGGCGCCTGGAGGCGCGCAGCGGGCACGCAGGGCTGGGATCGCACCTCCGTTTGGCCTCCTGTCAGCCCGCTTCTACGTCTCCGTCTCCCGGCTCGGGCCAACTTCGGAACTTGGCTGAAATTTCAATTCCCGATCACCCCGCGCCCTGAGAAAGGCCGAGGGGGAGCCGAGCTCCCGGCGTGGGCGCACACATCCGCGCCCCGAGCGGGGCCATCCGACGGGTGCAGGCAGCCCGCTGTCCCGCTGCGCGCCCCGCGAGGCAGAAGCCGGGCACTGCGGAGCCCCTGGGCTCGGCCCAGGCCTCGAGCTGCGCGGGCGCGGCGCAGGACTCGCGGGGGACGCTACCTCTGTCCCTCCCCGGTTCTTTCTGGCAGCTCTGCCCGAGTCACTCTACCCCTACCCCGCTCCCTTCCCGCGGCCTTGCGCTGTCTTTGCGCGACCCTTGGCCGGGCTGCGCGGCGGGGGGAGCGGCACGGAGCCCGCTCGGCGGTGCGGAGCCGTTCTGCTGAAGGTACCGCTCGGCACTGCGCTGTTCCAGGAGCGCTTTCACCCCCCGCGCCCCCGATATTGTTAAAGGAAGAATTAGTTCCCGACAGAACAAGGCTGAAAGTTGCCCCGTATCCGCACGGCGGGCGCCTCACGGAGATGCTCCTTTGCGGGCACCGCCCGGCTGCGGCCCGCTCCCAACGCTGCTCCGCCGGGGCCGCCCCCGCGGTGCGGTGCGGTGCGGTGCGGTGCGGAGCGTGGGGGGCTGCGGCCGGACGGCTCCTCCCGCGCCGCGAGAACAATACGAAGGGAGTGCGACTGAACAAACAAGGATCGATCAGATAATTTCAGATATTATAATTGGCTTTAATTAAACACACTTCGTTCTAATTAACTCTGAAATTTTAGCATGCTTTGGGACGTTGGTGTCTGATTTGATATTGTCAGTCCAGATGTCCTAATAAAATTCAATCCTCCACTCAAGACTTCAATATTCACTAAGAACAAAATGCAAATTAAATGTAAAACCTAAAGTATCGCCAAAGGTATAATCAAGAAAGGTGTCTCAAAACTTCTCACTTTTTATTACGCAGTAGTTAGAAAATGCAGA